TCCAAATGAAAAGTATTCTGGCTTGTGAGCAAACCATTAATCCTTGTTACTCTAAGCGGACTTCTTCCACAGCCACGGCTTGATCTACAGCTCTGTAAAATCTTGACCCTGCCCTTATGTTTTTGCAAAAACGATGTTAGCAAATACATCGAGTGACAAACAGATCCAGGTTGTTCAGCAGTCCAGAAAGACCCCATAGTGCTAGTAGGAGAAATGTTGGTGAAATACGTCTGGAACTTATTGAAAGAAGTCATGTTTACGTGTTTTTTTTTTTTTGCATAAATAAGCCCCGGAATGACTGCATAACAACCAATGAACACTCAATACTGGCTGACAAGACGAGCCTTGAATCAAAAAAGTTTGTTTGATAAATAGTACGCAGACACAATGACTTCTTTACATTAACAGTCATTATCAGACTCTATTTAGTTGAAAAAAGTCGCCAAATATACAAAAATTCACTCTACAGAAAATACAATACATTGCATGTCATTGCAAACCGGATAACTTCACAAAATCTGTGACTATTTCGAGAGTGCAGGTGCAAGTAAACTTCTGCTTTTTGGCGACTTTTTTCAACAAAATAAAGTCTGGTAAACGCACACTACAGCTTATCATCCCATCATGCAGCCAATTTGAATTTTCAAAACTTTTTCAAAGGCCTGAGATAATGTTTAATGCTTTAACGGCATCGAAATCTCGCCGTGAAAAGGAAAGTCTACCTTAGTGCTAGCAATATATGCCGATTTGACGGTGAGGACAACTGCGTTCAAAAGATTTCTCGCTGTCTGAATAAGCGACATTGCCGATTCCAGACCACTCACAATCAGTTCGTTACCAACCTGCTGCACGTCCGCTTTTACCTGCAACATGCCTGTGCTTTTCAGATGTATTGCCATAACATATTGAAAAGTGTTAGAAAGTCTCAGAGACCACCAAACGAATGCCTGAAATTATGTGGACGGCGCAGCAGATCGACAGAATTTAGGTGGATGGCGAGAAAGAAAGCGACGATGAAAGAGCAGCTGATAAATTTGCAAAATTTACGGAGTAAAATTATTGGGATAGATACGGACATGATTTTGCCAACGTACCTCGGTTTCCATGCAAAAAAAAAAAACATAAAAAAAAAGAACACATAAAGACTCCAAAAAGCAAGCAAACAGCAACTTACTCTGCTTGTTATATTCAGTTGTTGGCAATACAGAGTTATCCTTTGCAAATACGCAAATAGGTCCTTTTTCGTTTCGCTTTCCACACTCTCATCACCAATTTGTTTCGCTAATGAATTCAGCTTTGCTCCGGCATCCGAGATTTCCTGTGCAGCCTTGATCACGTCCATAGTCGTCTTTAGTGGCCCACGGCCCCTACACCAGATGAAGAGGTAAATTCAGTGGCAACATTATTACAGCAGTTCCAGTGCTCATAAACAAACAAAAAGGAAGGATCGGTGTCAGAAAAGGAGGAAGAAACTGGGCTAGGAAGCACCCAATGCAAGCGACAATTTAATTAAAAAGAATATAATTTTAGCTCCGTTAGCAATTGCTGGTTTTGTGTATTCGAGTCCACAAGGCCAATATTTTACATTTAAACAGCACAAAACGAGAGGAAGTACGACGAGATGCTCGTTCAGCACCGAACAGTAACGAGACTTGCATACAAATCGTGGTGTGGCATCCCAAAACAAATATTACTAGCGTTCAGAATTTTTTAACCTTTTCTGAAGCTTAATGATTGTTCATGTGAGGATGATTCTTCAGTTTTCTACAGCATACCACTCGACACTTCAGTCTTGCAAAAGAATAGTAAAGTAAAAGGCACTTTCCGTCTCGGACATCCCATCTGATTCAGAATTGGTCTACAGTCTTTCATATCATAAAATGACCAGAACAATAGTTACCTGGTGAAATCAGTCATATTCATCATAATCATGCACATATGCTTTGCCAGCACAATGATATCGTTGCCGGTTTCGTCCCATTTTGCCACTTCTCTCTCGAATTTACTTTGAGTTATCTGTAATAAAGCCTTTTCTCGAAAACTGCTCTGGACCGAGAGGGAATCCAACTACTCCTCTTCACGCAGTGTGTTACCACTACACCACTGTCCCTGTGCTTCAGGTTCATCCTGGCAGCACACTTGCTGTGAATCTGTCTTTCAAGGCAAGTTACACGTTCTTTTTTGTTCGGTCATGAACTAAAAATTTTGCCATGCTTTACGAAAGGCTCATGCAGTCCCAACATCGTGATCTAGAAGCGGTAACGTTCAAGGGAAGCTGAT